TTATATCACATAATCATGAACGTTTTGGGTAGAGATCTACATTATGTCTAATCATCATGAACATTGAGGGTGAAGTAAAAAATTATGTGTTTGTATCATGATCATTGTTTCATGTATCATCAGGTATGTATCAGTATCATGATTATTTTTTGAGGGGGCATACATTATGCAATGATATCTTGAATATTGTGTGTGGAGGTATAAATTATGTCACGTCATCATTAACATTGTGGGTGTGGGATATACATTATGTCACATCATCTTGAACATTGTGGGTGCAATCATACATTATGAGGCATCATTATGAACATTGTTGGTAGAGGCATTCATTATGTCACATAATCATGATCATTGTGGGGTTGAGACATACATTATGTCACATCATCATGAACATTGTGTGTTGGAGCATACATTATTTCAAATCATCATGACCATTGTGGGTGGAGGCATACGTTGTCAAATCATCATTTATACTGTGGGTGGAGGCATACATTATGACAAATCATCATGAACATTGTTGGTGGGGGCATACATTATGTCACATCATCATGAATAGTGTGGGTGAATACACACATACTATCACATCATCATGAACATTTTGGTTGGAGACCTACATTATGTTACATCATTATGAACATTGGGGTGGAGGCGAACATTATGTCACATCATCGTGAACATTGTTTGTGGGGGCATGCATTATGTAACATCATCATGAATATTGTTGGGGAGGGTCACATAAAATATCACAATTTCATTTATATTTTGGGATGCACGCAAGCATTATGTCACATCATCATGAATATTGTGAATGGAGGCATAAATTATGTCACATCATCATGAATATTGTGGGTGTGGGCATACATTATGTCACATCATCTAGAACATTATGGGTGGAGTCGTACATTATATCCCATCATCTTGAACATTGTGGGTGGTGTTATATATTATGTGACATCATTATGAATATTGTAGGTGAAGGCATACATTATGTCACATAATTATGTACATTGTTGGTGGAGGCATAAATTGTGAAATCATCATGAATAGTGTGGGTAAGAGCATTCATTAGATCACATCTTGATGAATATTGTGGGTGGATGTATACATTATGTCACATCATCATGAACATAATGGATAAAGGCATGCATTGTCATATCATCATGAAATTTGAGGGTTGAGGCATACATTATTTCACATCATTAAGAACTTTTGGGGTGGAGGCATACATTATATCACATGATCATGATCAATGTAGGAGGAGACATACATTATGTCACATCACCATGAACGTTGTGGTGGAGCCATAATATTTCACATCATGATGAACATTGTGGCATACATTATGCATATATCATCATGAACATTGTAGATGGAGTCATTATGTCACATCTTCATGAACTTTGTGGGTGTATGCATACATCATGTCAAATCATCATGGATATTGTGGGTGGAGACATACATTATGTCCCGTCATCATGGACATTGTGGGATGAGGCAGAATACATGTCACATCATCTCGAATATTGTGGGTTATTGCGTACATTATGTCACATCATCATGAATATTGCAAGTGGAGGCATACTTTTTGTCACAACATCATGAACCTTGTTGGTGGAGGAATACATTATTTCACATCATCCAGAACATTGTGGCCGGAATTATTCATTATGTCACATTAACATGAATATTATGGGTGGGGGCATATATTATGTCACTTTTTCATGAAGTGTGTGTTGGTGGCGACATACAGTGTGTCACATTATCATGAATATTGTGGGTGGGGGCATACATTATGTCACATCATCAAGAACTTTGTGGGTTAAGGCACACATTGTCACATCATCATGAAAATGGTGGGTAGAGGCATACATTAAGGGGGCATTAGGTTCCAAAAATGCAATAAATGAAAACTCGTTCGATTTCAATCAAACTTTTTTGACATGTTCTAAATGAAAAGTGGTTCATCTGGTCCAAGTTTCAGCATCGTAGCATAAATAGGAAGGGAGAAAAAAAATATTGAAGTAGTTGTGAAAATTATGCCAAAATGGTCAAAATCGATTATCAATCAAAAGTGTCAACTGAAATCACAGCTATGACTCTTTGCTATCACAATAGCATATATTAAACAAATATTATAATTAGTTTAATTGGAAAAAAATTTTAAGAAAAAAAAATGTATTTTTTTTTCATTTTTTTGTTTTCATTATTTTTGGGGCGATTTTCATCAAATTTACACAACTGATTGTACATAAGACTATCTGTAAGGATGCCAATTTTGGAGAAAATTGGTTGATGTCAACCTCAGCCACAGATTTTAGAACCTTAGACTTTATTCTCTTTTTTTTTTCAATTGACACAAATGTTTACAAAACTGATTCATTTTTTATTCAATTTACATGAAACTTACACAGTATATGTGGAGGGCATCTCTCTACATTGGTGAGTTTTCATTTTTCTCTAAGTTCATTTATTGATTTTATAATAGCAATAAACATGCCATATTTGCAAAAAAAATTTTGGGAACTTGGAACATTTGTATTAGGAAAACTAAAGATGTTTTGGAAATTCTATATCTCAAGGTCCTTTATTATATGCTAATGTGTCAGAAAATTGTCACAGAATAATTATATCTGAAACGTGTGTTCTGAAGTGTAGACTTGAAAATGTGTAAAAACCGTTGAAAAAAAAAATCTCCCTTTCTATTTACGCTGCAGTACTGAAACTTGGGACAATCTCAGCACTTTTCATATACAACTAGTCAAATAATATTGGTTGACATTGAACAACTTTTCCAACACCAACCTAATGCCCCCCTTAAGTCAAACCATCATTTACATAGTGGGTGGAGGCATACATTAAATCAAACCATCATGATCCTTGTGGGTGGACACATACATTATGTCTCATCATCATAAACGTTGTGGTGGAGGCATAGTATGTCATATCATCATGAACATTGTGGTTGGATTCATATATCATGTCAAATCATCATGGATATTGTGGTTGGAGACATTCATCATCTCACACCATCATAAACATTGTGACGTGACATAATGTATGTCACGTCATCATGAACATTGTGGGTGATTGCATACATTATTTCACATCATCAAGAACATTGTTGCTTGAAGCATATATTATGTCACATTATCATGAATATTGTGGACGGAGGCATACATTATGTCATATCTTCATGAACATTGTATTTGGATGCATGCATTTTCTCACAACATCATGAAGATTGTGGTGGAATCATACATTGACTCATCATCATCATGAACATTGTGGATTGATGGCATACATTATGTCATAATGTATGCCATCAAACCAATAATATATGGGGCCGGCTGGCCGAGCGGACAGCACACTGCACACGTGATCCTGTGGTCTCGGGTTCGACCCCGGGCGCCGGCGAGAATCGATGGGCAGAGTTTCTTTCACCCGATGCCCCTATTACCTAGCAGTAAATAGATACCTGGGAGTTAGTCAGCTGTCACGGGCTGCTTCCTGGGGGTGGAGGCCTTGTCGAGGACCGAGCCGCGCGGACACAAGATAACCTCAAGAAGATAATCATCATGATCATTGTAAGTGGAGTCATACATTGTCACATCATCATGAATATTGTGAGTGGAGACCATTCATTATATCACAATATCATGAACATTGTGGGTGAAGCCAAACATTATATCACATCATCATGAATATTTTGGGTGGAGACCTATATTATGTCACATCATCATGAACATTGTGGGTCGAGGCAAACATTATCTCATATCATCATGAACATTGTTTGTGGAGGCATATATTATGTAACTTCATCATGAATATTGTCGGAGGCGTTACACATTATACCGCATTTTCATGAACATTGGGGGTGAATCCGTGTGTTATATCACATCACTGAGAAAATTGTAGATATAGGTATAAACTATGTCACATCATCATGAACATTGTGTTTTTGAGGCAGACATTATTTCACATCATCATGAACATTGTGGATGGAGGCAGACATTACGTCACATCATCATAAAATTGTTGGTGGAGGCAAACATTATGTCACATCATCATGAACATTGTTTGTTAAGACATACGTTATTTCACATTATAATGAAAATTGTGGGTGGAGACATATATTATGTCACATCATGAACATTGTGGGTGGAATCAAACATCTCACATCATCACGAACATTGTGATTGGATGCATGCATTATGTCACATCAACATAAAGATTGTGGGTGGAGGCATACATCATCACATCGTCGTGAAAATTGAGGGAGGAGGCATACATTATGTCACATCATCATGAACAATGAGGGGAGGCATATATTATATCACATCATGATTATTGTGGGGTGAAGGCATACATTATGTCACATCATCATGAACATTGTGGGTAATGGACTACATTATGTCACATCATCATAAACATTGCGAGTGGATGCATACATTATATCACATCATCATGAACATTGTGGGTGGAGACATACATTATGTCACATCTTCATGAACATTTTGGTTGGGAGCATACACTGTGTCGCACAAGGGACAAGTTACAGAAGTGTACAGTGTATTAGTTCACGTCCAAATGTGACAGTCCTTCTCCAGCTTCACGCACTGTCCCTCCCCTCTCTAATCTGCCCCCCCCCCCTCCCTCTCCGACACCGCCCCCCCCCCCGTTTCACAGAAGCAACTGAGCATTGTGTCCTTATCACTCAGCTCACCACCAGATTACTAAACAATTATTACCCGCTGACAGAGTTCCCATAAAGGGAACTCCCCCTGCACTGTATTCAGTAAGGTTCATATTCCTGATGATTGCGAAAGTAATATGTTTTTATTGCCCGGTTCATTTGCTTCTATTGCTCATAAACACTTCCCGATAATCCCTACACACTATCAGTCACTGGGCTGTTGGGAAACAATTTATTAATACATTTTGGTTTCATGATTGCATAACTTCATTTGTCCTTGTCAGTAGTAGCGTGTGGTGGAGCAAGATTACACTGTTAGACTTTTGTCAGTAGTACAGGAGTGAGTGGTGAAGCAAGCTGACACTGTGGGACTCTTGTCAGTAGTTCAGGAGTGAGTGGTGGAGCAAGCTGACACTGTGGGACCTGACTCTGCTCTTAACACAGGTAATACGGCGTGTATGCCATACAGATGGACCTCGGTATTATGGAAGAGAAACATTATAATTACATGGTCAAGGGAAAAGTTATGATTACTTGTCGAACATTGTTATGTCCATGTTTGCTATGATGAAGTTATGGTAGTGGTTGGTTGTTCTGTCTGACTATATTAGAGGCAAGTGGGGGTGTGTGGCTATTATGTTAGTTCTTATGTGGTCCAAGGTTTAAGCAGATGTTTGGGTGATTTGTGTGGGCTTGGTGATTGTTTATATTAGCATAGAGATGTTTACACAGTTGAGGAAGCAATCGAGTTGAGGTTTACAAAGGCCAGGGAAGTCACCTCCTAAAGTATGTGGCTTTAGTTGAGTTTGTTGTTTATAGTTAGATTCCTCAGATTATCTGAGAATTCAGTTATATTAGTATTTTGAAATATGTAAACAACTCCCTTTGTTATAAAGGATTTAATGGATTTGATTGAGAATTGAGCAGAGGTATATTCAGGGTAGTCGTCTGTTACTAATGATACTGATGCAAATGCACCAGTATTTGCATCTATCTTAATAGATAGATGTAAAGCACCCTTTATGCTGTATGACAGAGACTAGATTTAGTCTGATGTTGTATGGCAGATGCTGATAAATAAATAATGATAACTGGAGGAAATGTTTCCGGAGCTATTCTTGATTTTTGCAAATATTAAAGAAGACCTCATTCATTCTGACTGCTGCGACACTCACACTCAATGATACATACATGCCTATGAACACGGTATTCTGTTGAGCATCACGGTGCCTTGTTCATATAAAGCTGAGCTTCACGTGAAGGATTTAACAACAGCACTGAAAACGTAACAGAAGAAAAGGTGTATATTAGAAACAGATGTTGAATTTGTTCTCGATGATCACAGGCGCCGGCCACATTAGGTGGATTTGTTCAAACTCCTTCGCTAAACATTCGTCTGCTTAGTGCTAGCAAGAACTATTGTACACGGAGGTATTGGAAGGAGAGTTGTGAAGGTAAGTAATAAAATTAAATTTAAAAGTTAGTAATCTAATTTTTGTTGGTTATTGCCTTGGTGGAAATTTAGACAGAGTAGTAATAGGCATACTACAGTCTTCAGAGACTATGGAGTTGCGCTCTGGTTGTCGAGGCTGAAATGTTCTCTCCACAGCACAAAGCGCGGGGTATATCTTGAGGTTATCTTGAGATGATTTCGGGGCTTTAGTGTCCCCGCAGCCCGTCCTAGACCAGGCCTCCACCCCCAGGAAGCAGCCCGTGACAGCTGACTAACTCCCAGGTACCTATTTACTGCTAGGTAACAGGAGCATTCAGGGTGAAAGAAACTTTGCCCATTTGTTTCTGCCTCGTGCGGGAATCGAACCCGCGCCACAGAATTACGAATCCTGCGCGCTATCCACCAGGCTACAAGGCCCCTACCTACAAGGGTAGGTAGATTTGGAGGAGAAACTGCTACCCATGCAGCAGGTCCCCCGTCTCCACGATGCTGAAATTGTCCATTGGAAGGGCAAACGCCAATACGCTTGGTTCCAGCGCCGACGAAGGAACTGTGACAACGAGGTTGAATTCAACAACAAACTGTCATACAGGCTCCAACTCCGGATTTTCCCTCGAGGTACATTCCTGAAGGAGAGGAGAGGAGACAATAAGTTTATGCTGGAAATAAGAGAGTGCAGCAGTAAATTTAAGAAGTTTGGGTGAAAACAACATAGGCGAACACAGGCAACAACTTAACAACTAATATCTAGTAAGTTGTTAATTCACATCACATCATCATGAACATTGTGGGTGGAGGAAGTCATCATGTCACATCATCATGGATATCGTAGGTGGAGACATACATTATTTCACGTCATCGTGAACTTTGTGGGTGGATGCATACATCATGTCACATCATCATGAATATTGTGGGTGGAAGCCAACAATAAGTAACATCATCATGAACATTGTGGGTGATTGCATACATTATGTCAAATCATCATGAATATTGTAGGTGGGGGCATACATTATGTCAGATCATCATGAAGATTGTGGGTGAAAGATTACTTTATGTCACATTATCATGAATATTATGTGTGGGGTGATACATTATATAACATCTTCATGAAGTGGGTGGGTGGAGCCATACATTGTCACATCATCATGATCATTGTGCGTGGATGAATAGTGCCACATCATCATATGCAATGTGGGTAGAGGCATGCATTATGTCAAATCATCATGAACATTATTGGTGGAGGCATACATTATATCACATCGTCATGAACATTTTGGGTGGAGACCTACATTATGTCACTTCAACACGAACATTGTTTGTAGGGGCATGCATTACGTAACATCATCATCAAAATTGTTGGTAGAGGCAAATATATATTATGTTACTTCATCATGAATATTGTTGGTGGGGGTCACACATTATATCACTTTCTCCATGAACATTGTTGATGGACGCATGCATTATGTCACATCATCATGAACATTGTGGGTGTTGGCATACATTATGTTACATCATCATGAACATTGTGGGTGGAGGCATACATTATTTCACATCATGAAAAACAGTGTAGCTGGAATTATTCATTATGTCACATCATCATGAACATTGTGGGTGTTGGAATACAATTTTTTACATCATCATGAACATTGTGGGTGGTGACATACATTATTTCACATCATGAAAAACAGTGTAGCTGGAATTATTATGTCACAATATCATGAATATTATGGGTGGAGACATAAATAATGTCACATCATCATGGACATTGTGGGTTAAGGCAAACATTGTCTCATCATCATAAAATATGAGGGTATAGGCATACATTATGTCACATTATCATGAACATTGGAGGCGAAGGCATACATTATATCAGATGATCATGATCATTGTGGGTGGAGACATACATTATCCCACAACATCATAAACGTTGTGGTGGAGGCATACAATGTCACATCATCATGAACATTGTTGTTTGAGGCATACATTATGTCCCGTCATCATGAACGTTGTGGGTGGATGCATACATCATGTCACATCATCATGGACATTGTGGGTAGATGCATACATCATGTCACATCATCATGGACATTGTGGGTGGATGCATACATCATGTCACATGATCATGGACATTGTGGGTGGATGCATACATCATGTCACATGATCATGGACATTGTGGGTGGATGCATACATCATGTCACATCATCATGGACATTGTGGGGTGAGACAAAATATATGTCACATTGTCATGAATATTGCAAGTGGGGGCATACTTTGTGTCACATCATCATGAACCTTGCGGGTGGAGGTATACATTATGTCACATCATCATGACGATTGTGGGGTGTGGGCATACATTATTTCACATCATCAAGAACATTGCAGCTGAAATTATTCATTGTGTCACATTATCATGAATATTATAGGTGGGGGCAAACATTATGTCATATCTTCATGAACATTGTGTGTGGATACATGCATTTTCTCACAACATCATGAACATTGTCGTGGAGTCATACATTGTCACATCATCATGAATACTGTGTTTTGTGATATACGTTATGTCAAAATCTCATGACCATTGTGGGTCGAGGCACACATTATTACATTATTATATACCCTGTGGGTGGTGGTATACATTATGTCACAGCATCATGAACATTGTGGGTTAAAGCATACATTGTCACATCATCATGAAAATTAAGGGTGGAGGTATACATTATATCACAACATCATGAACATTGGGGCGGAGGCATACATAATATCACATCATCATGATCATTGTGGGTGGAGATATACATTATATCATCATAAAATTTGTGGTGATGACCACCACTAACATAAAAGTTGTGGTGGAGGCATACTAGGTCACATCATCATGAACATTGTGCGTGGATTCGTACATCATGTCAAATCATCATGTATATTGTGATTGGAGACATTCATTATCTCACCATCATAAACATTGTGGGTGTAGATATACATTATGTCACATCATCATGAACATTGTGGGTGGAGACATACATTATGTCGCGTCATCATGAACATTGTTGTTTGAGTCATCCATTATTTAACAACATCATGAACATTATAGGTGGAGACAAATATTATGTTGCATCATCATTAACATTGTGGGTGAAGACATTCATTATGTCATATCATCATGAACATTTTGGTTGGGAGCATACACTGTGTCGCACAAGGGACAAGTTACAGTAGTGTTCAGTGTATTAGTTCACGTCCAAATGTGACAGTCCTTCTCCAGCTTCACGCACTGTCCCTCCCCTCTCTCCCCGCCCCCCCCCACCTCCCTCTCCGACACCGCCCTCCCCCGTTACACAGAAGCACCGGGGCATTGTGTCCTTATCACTCAGATGACCACTAGATTAATAAATAATTATTCACCGCTGACAGAGTTCCCATAAAGGGGAACTCCCGTGCACCAAATTCAATAAGGTTCATATCCCTGATGATTACGAAAGCAATATGTTTTTATTGTCCAGTTCACTTGCCTCTATATTGCCCATAAACACTTCCTGAAAATCCCAAAATACTATCTGTCACTAAGCCGTTTGGAAAATTTGTATTAATATATTTTGGTATTATTGCATAACCTCATTTGTCCTTGTCAGCAGTAGCGTGTGTGGTAGAATCAAGCTGACACTGTGGGACTCTTGTCAGTAGTTCAGGAGTGAGTGGTGGAGCAAGCTGACACTGTGGGACTCTTGTCAGTAGTACAGGAGTGAGTGGTGAAGCAAGCTGACACTGTGGGACTCTTGTCAGTAGTTCAGGAGTGAGTGGTGGAGCAAGCTGACACTGTGGGACCTGACTCTGCTCTTAACACAGGTAATACGGCGTGTATGCCATACAGATGGACCTCGGTATTATGGAAGAGAAACGTTATGATTACATGGTCATGGGAAAAGTTATGATTACTTGTCGAACATTGTTATGTCCATGTTTGCTATGATGAAGTTATGGTAGTGGTTGGTTGTTCTGTCTGACTATATTAGAGGCAAGTGGGGGTGTGTGGCTATTATGTTAGTTCTTATGTGGTCCAAGGTTTAAGCAGATGTTTGGGTGATTTGTGCAGGCTTTGTGATCGTTGATATTAGCATAGAGATTGAAGTTGCATAGATATTGCTTCCTCAACACAGTTGAGGAAGCATTCGAGTTGAGGTCTACAAAGGTCTGTGAAATCACCTCCTAAACTATGTGGCTTTATTTGAGTTTGTTGTTTATAGTTAGATTCCTCAGATTATCAGAGAATTCAGATATATTAGTATTTTGAAATATGTAAACAGCTCCATTAGTTTAAAGGATTTAAGGGATTTGATTGAGAATTGAACAAAGGTATATTCAGGGTAGTCGTCTCTGTTTCTAATGATAGTGGTGCAAATGAGCTATCTTAAAAGATAGCTGTAAAACCCCCTTTATGCTGTATTTCAGAGACTGCAGACACTAGAGTTAGTCTGATGTTGTATTGCACATTCTGTAAAATAAATAATGATAACTATAGGCAGTGTTTCCCGGAGCTAATTTTGATTTTTGCCATTATTAAAGATCTCATTCATTCTTACTGTTGCTGTAACACGGGGAGGGTGTTCTCGACTTATCCTTCCTTCTTCTCCCTCTACCCGTATTCTTATTTTTTATTCTCTACAAGGGACTCCAAAACTTTTACTAAAGCCGACTCCACGCCACGTGGTCCTAAGACGATTGACCGACTTAGGATTCTACAACCCGTATGACGTGACATAGACTTTGAGCAAAACCCTAGAGTCGCCTCCGCCGCCACCACCAGACCAGTAACACAGAGCAATGATCGAGGTCTGGATCGATCATGCTAATTAATCAACCTTGGGGCTTGATCCCCACTAGTAGTTTATAACCTCGGAAACTTGAGTGTGGAATTATTTAGACGGGGATGATGAATTCCGATTCGATGTTAGAATCGGCGCCCAATTCAACTCTGCCTCGTGTGGACCACGTGACCAGGACAAGTTCACATAAACACATGGAAATAGTAAAAATGCAATTTATTAACTAATTAATTTATTAAAAGAAAAACTAAAACAAAATCTAAATATGTTCACTCCCTGTCACTTTAACACTCCCTACTTTTCCTGAACGGCAATGAATTGACTATCCCTATAAATAACAATAGCAACTATACCTCTATGTTGACCAGCTAAAGATGTTGGGCTGGTCTTGGGGGAGAGGTGAGATGGGCTGACCTCCCCCAGTTGATCTAGAGTTCACACTGATCTCTTCCTCGTCTGGTCTTCCCCAGACTAGAGCATTGTATCCTTCCGCATAGTCTAAGTTTTACCAAGTTACTAGCAAGGTTTAAGTTATAACAATTAACCTCTGTTGTACTTAATTGATCCAGACTGGTTGAATTATTTTACTGAAGTTAAATTACACAAGCATCTAACGGCCGAGCTGTTCCCGTTCCCCAAAATGGTTAATTGAACTTTGAGAAATAGTAGACATGTCAACTTTGATGACCTATGACCGCCAGGTCACTCCGCCTTACAACTTAGATCTGATTCGTGATGTCACTGACGGTGACTTAACTCAATAATTAGAATACTCTTGATATTGTACCCAGTAATATTATACAATACAATTTTAATACAAAATGAATAAAGGCTAATTTCTCTAACTTAATGAATACTATAGGATGATTCATTATACGCAGCTATGAACAAGGCGTAGATTATTTTCACCGCGAATTCCCCTGGGGTCAGGTCCCGGGTCACCACGCGGGCCCAGCTTCCCATTCTCTTTTGTCGATAAACCACTCTGGATAATTCTTACAACCAGCCTAGTTTGTTACATTGCGATACTCACAATCAATGATACATACATCATTGATACGTACGACCAGCTGGTCGTTGATTACGACCGACTGGGAAGCTGGTCGGCCGAGCGGACAGCACGCTGGACTTGTGATCCTGTGGTCCCAGGCACGATCCCGGGCGCCGGCAAGAAACAATGGGCAGAGTTTCTTTCACCCTATGCCCCTGTTACCTAGCAGTAAAATAGGTACCTGGGTGTTAGTCAGCTGTCACGGGCTGCTTCCTGGGGGTTGAGGCCTGGTCGAGGACCGGGCCGCGGGGACACTAAAAAAGTCCCGAAATCATCTCAATAAAACCTCAAGATATATATACCTATGAACAGAACACAGTATTCTGTTGAGCATCACGGTGCCTTATTCATATAAAGCTGGACTTCATGTGAAAGACTTAACCACAGCACTGAAAAACGTAGCAGAAGAAAAAGTTTGTATTAGAAACAGATGCTTGAATTTGTTCCTGTTGGTCACCGGCGCCGGCCACATTAGGTGGATTTGTTGGAACGCTAAAGATTCATCTGCTAAGTGCTAGCAAGAACTATTGAACACGTAAGTAATGGAAGGAGAGTTGTGAAGATAATGAAATTAAATTTAAAAGTTCGCAATCTAATTTTTGTTGGTAATTGGCCTAGTGAGATTTTTTTACTTTTGGAGTAGTAGTAGGCATCCTACAGTCTTGGGAGACTATGGAGTTGCGCTCTGGTTGTCGAGGCTGAAATGTTCTCTCCAGAGCACAGAAACAGGGGCAGGTCAATTTGTAGGAGAAGCTGTTACCCATGCAGCAGGTCCCCCGTCTCCACGATGCTGAAATTGTCCATTGGAAGGGAAAACGCCAATACGCTTGGTTCCAGCGCCGACGAAAGAGCTGCCAGAACGAGATTGAAATCAACAACGAACTGTCATAGAGGATCCAACTCCGGATTTTTCCTCGAGGTACATTCCTGAATCCCGTCCCAAAAGATGGTATATTGTGCTTTTGATGGGAAAAAATAAGGTGCGGGTTTGCTATATAATAGCAAGAAATGAAGATATCATTATCAATATGGACACCATTTAAATTGGTAATGGAAATAAAACGTTATTTACATTAGTGCAGGAGGAAATAAAGTAGAAAGAGTTAAGAGTGAGACAGTAATAAAGAAGTTTAAAGCAGCAGTTGAGTTATTTACTATCATGAGCGGGATCTCGATAACATGTGGCATTCTTCCAAGAAGAGGAGTTGACACCGATTAATTATTTAGGGCAATTTGAGTTTATTACCGACTATATCAACATTGAAAAGTCAATGCAAGATTATTGATGTAATACTTGAAACACTTTCGCGGAAATATTGTTTGCTCGGGCTACAGTAAAGAACACTTAACTTGAGCTGTTGCTTTTTCTTCTTCATTGGAATCTTCATTTGGTGAGTTTGTCTGAATGTGAACTGTTGAAATACTGGGGCATGGGAACGTGTTCCGGGAGCGGAGACAATAAGTTTGTGCTGGAAATAAGAGAGAGTAAATTAAAGAAGTTTGGGTGAAACAACATAGGCGAACACAGGCAATAACTTAACAACTAATATCTAGTAAGTTGCTAATTCACATCACATCATCATGAACCTTGTTAGTGGAGGAATTCATCATGTCACATTACCATGGATATTGTGGGCGGAGACATATATTATGCCACGTCATCATGAACTTTGTGGGTGGATGCATACATCATGTCACATCATCATGGAAATTGTGGGTGGAGGCAAACAATAAGTCACATCATCATGAATATTGTAGGTGGGGGCATACTTTATGTGACATCATCATGAACCTTGATGGTGGGGGGAATACATTATGTCATATCATCATGAAGATTGCGGGTGGAAGAATACATTACGTCACATTATCATGAATATTATGGGTGGGGTGATACATTTTGTAAAATCTTAATGAATTATATGAGTGGAGGCATACATTGTGTCACATCATCATGAATATTGTGGGTCGGGACATACATTATGTCATATCTTCATGAACGTTGTGTGTGGATGTGTGCATTTTCTCACATCATGAACATTGTGGTGGAGTCATACATTGTTACATCATCATGGGCATTGTGGGTTGGTGGCATACATTATGTCAAATCATCACGACCATTGTGGGTGGAGGAATAGATTGTCACATCATCATATGCACTGTGGGTGGAGGCATACATTATGTCAAATCATCGTGAACATTGAGGGTAAGGGCATACTTTATATCACATCATCATGAACATTTTGGATGGAGACCTACATTATGTAACATCATCATGAAGATTTTTGGTAGATGGTTATACTATGTCACTTCATCATAAATATTGTCGGTGGGGTCACACATTATATCATATTTTCATGAACATTGTGGGTGGATGCATGCATTATGTCACATTATCAAGAACATTGTGGGTTAAGGCACATATAGTGACATCATCATGAAAATTGAGGGAAGAGGCATACATTATGTCATATCTTCATTTACATTGTGGGTAGAGGCATACATTATGTCACATCATCATGATCATTGTGGACTTAAGGCATACATTGTCACATCATGAACATTGAGGGTAGAGGCATACATTATATCACATCATCATGATCATTGGGGATGGAGACATACATTTTGTCACATCATCATAAATTTTGCGGTAGAGGCAAACTATGTTTCATCATCATGATCATTGTAGATTGAGGATTACATTCTGTCACATAATCATGAATGTTGTTAGTGGGATGCATACATCATATCATATCATCATGTTCATTGGGGGTGGAGACATACATTATGTCACATCATCAAGAACATTGTAGGAGAAGGCAAGCAATATGTCACATAATCGTGAATATTGTGGGGTGATTGCATACATTATGTCAAATCTTCATGAAGTGTGTGGGTGGAGGCATACATTGTGTCACATCTTCATGAACATTGTGTGTGGATCTTGAAGTTAT